TCCGAATAGAAGACGATATCGTGGTCACTGAGACAGGAATGGAACTCTTGACTGATGTCCCGCGAACTGTAGCTGAAATTGAAGCCCTTATGGCTGAGGGCAGAAAAGTTGACGTCAAGTTTCCTCAACAAAAGTTTTTAAAATAATCCATTTTTTAAACATATCGATATATTTTTAATGTTTAGCTTTAATAATTCGGATTATTCAATATATTGTATTTTATTGAATTATACCCTATTCAGATATATTGCAGCACTGGTATAATATATACAAATAAATGAAAGTTTTAAAAATAATAGACATTAAGTTTTTCAATGGTTATTATTAATAATAAGTTACACTGTATATTTTTATGATATTTTATTAAATTCTTTATCAGAATTTCTACTGTTTATTGAACACTAATATGTAGTGAACTGCACGTATATTCGCTCATTTAATTGTTATGAATGAATAGTTTAAAACTATTTAAGCCGTTATTTTGAGATTAATCTCAAATTGAAGGCAATTTTGTAGACAATAAGAGACAGAAATTTGGTGATCATTTCAAATATGAGTGAATCTGAAGGAAATGCAAATCCTGAGAGCGCTCCCAAAACTGAAGACAAGGAGACAAAGAATGAGGTGAACGCCAGACCGGGGTATACCTATTCGGCCAGTTTTGACAAACAATCCGATCAGACCGTTAGAGTGAGATTGGAAATCGACGGCATCGTACATGTAGTGCCCGTCTGTGCCATCTGTCACAAAGTCAATCGGATTTGTTGTGTGGATCCGAAATTCACGGAAAAACAGATCAATTCTGCAAAGTATTTGGGTTTAGATGACTCCAATGCATCCAATGAAAAAAAATCCGATTCCAAAGACAAAGACTCGACTTCGAAGGTCTCTTCAAAAGATTCATCGAAGGACGGGAAGGATTCAAGTGAAGGGAAATATTCGGCTGCGAAGACATCGCTAAAAGAGTCTTCAGCCGATGGGAAGGATACCAACTCAGGTAAAGACTCGGCTTCAAAGACATCGTCAAAAGACTTTTCAGGCGAGGGAAAGGACTCGGCTTCAAAAACATCGTCAAAAGATTCATCAAAGGACTCGGAGGGCAGCACTTCTGGTGCCGATTCGGGAAAGTCTTCAAAGTCTGAGGACGAGAAGAAGAAGAAAAAGTCTGACGGCAGTGACCACCGAAAGAAAGAACTGCCGGCGACCTCCTGGACTACTCATAAGCCCTCTCATGATGACTGGAATAAGAAGAAGAAAAAGGACTTTTAAATAAACTCACAATTCATTTGAAGTGATTATACTGTAGTTTGCTTTAAACTATATGAACAAAATTGAATAAAATGCTCCAGTCCTTTCAATTCAATAAAATTTTCTATTTTAATAATTACTGTTTATATATTTTACTGTATTTACAATATTAACTATAACATCATAATCATAACTAAACACCAGTATTGGGATTTACTTAAATGATATCCAGTATTAATAAGTATACGACAATAAACATGATAAAAATTCCACTTTATTAGACTCAATGTATAACTTATTTATCACTAAAAACAGTGTTATCTCTCAATACCTTTTGCAAGTGTTTGGCGTTTGATAATTAATTTGTTTATTTGAGTCAAAGTTAATTGAATTAAAAACAAACAATATTTTTATAAAAACCATAAGTTATACAGTACTGTATAAATGCTGTATAGTACAGTACTTTGCAATAAATAATAATTACTTGATCAAATAAAAAGCTAAACAAAAAATTACTTTTTATTCAATTGCTTCTCAAATTACAAATCGATTGTTTAGTGTTAAGGGTATATCATATGTTTATTATAACATTTTAAATAATATTACAATTCGTTAAATATCAATTTATTAATCCTAAGAATAGTCTAAATATAATAATGTAATAGATTTGTACATATATTTGAACACATCATTCAAATCATTAATGAAATAAATGTTTGAAAACAAGCTATNCAAAAAAATTATGAGATTATGATTGTTTGAGAGACAAAAAAGATAGAAAGATGGGAAACATAGAGAGAGAGAGAGAGAGAGAGAGAGAGAGTCGTGGAAGCGATTGGAAAGCTCGACAACAAATGTATGGATGAGTGGGCAATAAAGAGTTGCAGCGATGGGATGAATCGGATGGTCCCAAAATGGGAGAGCTGTGTAAACCTATCTAAAGGGATGGGTGTCGGACTCAGACCTAAACCTAAATTTAGATTTTTATAAAATAGTTTATATTGTGCTGACGAGGAATGCGCCGAATCTGCACACAAGTGGTGTACAGTAATCACTGAAATTCTTGTCGTAGTTCTTCATTGAAGTCATTTTCTTGTAGTTTTTATTATTATTAAACTTTTCTATTATTTGTTATTAATTTTTAGAGTTATATCGAGTTTTTAAAATGTACGAATTTGGATAAGTTATTGAGTTGTTTGTAGAAATGTGTGCACATTATCGATGTAATTGTGAGAATCAATTCTACACAAGAGATTTCTACTGAAGCCGATACAGACATAACTGTAAGGAAACGTCAAATGAAACCCAAGAAAAAGGATTCTGTGACACAACTCGTCAAACCTGGTGTCGAAGAAATTTAAGAAGAAAATTAAGACCAAAAAGCGCGACACAACCACAGAAGTGATCACTCCTGAAGGAGTGGAACAGATCGCTGTCGAAGAGACCGTAGAANACTCGTCAAACCTGGTGTCGAAGAAATTTAAGAAGAAAATTAAGACCAAAAAGCGCGACACAACCACAGAAGTGATCACTCCTGAAGGAGTGGAACAGATCGCTGTCGAAGAGACCGTAGAAGTGACTGAAAAGAAACCTCAAGAGGTCTCAAGTGATAAACTGGTTTCGACTTCCAATAAATTTATACTGTATTTCTTAATTTAAGACTTTTGTTGTAACTTTTGACTAAACTTTGTAACACTTCTATACTTATAGGATACACAGAATTAGTCCAAGAATTAGAGGTGGAAAGGGCTGACACGCCGTCATTGAGTTTGACGACTACCGAAACCTCTTCCTCTTGGATGAGAGCAAATGTGGAGCCATTGGTCTCTTCCTATACGAGACATACATTGATTGAAAGGAGGGAATACTTCTTCAAACTATGGTTCCATTCGACACTCTCTTCAAGTGATTCAACAAATCTATTGTCATATTAATTATGAAATACTTTTTGGTTAAACCCATCAACAGATCCTAATTTATTGAATTATATATTTGACTTTAAAACATAATTATTAAACAAACATCAATTAATTGATCCGGACTAATTTTAAGACTATCCGATAAATCATTATAATTATTATGAAACTATAAACCTATTAACTATACACTTATTCTTATGTGTATTCTTCACATAACTTATTAACAAAAAAGTTTTGTTTTGTTTTATTGTTATATACAGATTATGTTATATTAATAATTAATTATAGTTATGTTTATTGTTAATAATTAATAGTTTATTCATAAATCAATAAAAATAATATATTTAGTCATTAAATAAGCAGCAATGTATTATAAATTAATTTTGGTAACAACTGTCAGTCGTTAATACCTGTGATTGCAGTGACTGCCAGTGTTATCACTATTTTAGTCACATTTATTGCATTCAAACACCTCTTTATAGGACATCACAACAAACACACAAATGTATTACACATGTGTTACTCAATACTCAATACTAGGCTAAGACAGCCACTCAAGCATATTGCCATCACTGGCATATACCCGACCATTGGGAAACATATTCAAGGTCTCCTCAACGGATAAACATCTTATAAATAAAGTAAAGATTATTAGAATGAGGTGCTAAATGATAAATCCAAAATCATCGAGCACATTTTATAATATATTCTATGGGGTAATGAATGTTTAATTTCATTGAATGATCATATTTGACACGGACGGACGTATTGGTGGTTTGCTGACCAGCCGTCTAACCATGTCTTCATTGATGCGATATATTAGGCATGAATTATGACGACTACAAAGACAACCCCTAAGCTATGCCTGGCATTGGATGTAATGATGAAAACAAAGCGTAATGTATGAGTGGACGACATAAACAAAGTAGAGGTAGTGTTGTAGTAGTGGTGAGTAGTGTTTGTTATTGTATAACCTCTACAGCACTACAGTGAGTGACTGTGTTTGTAGACAAACCACACAAACGGCTATTGTTTTCAATGTTTTGGTTCAGTTTGTCCTCAATTCGTGTCGACGTATCACTCATTCATTCATTCATTGCTTACTATTGATTG